AAAGGCAAGATTGAGAGAGCTAGGCAGCTAGAGCTAAGAGAGCTGTGGGTGGGTGCAAATAGGCTATAGCCTTCATAGAGAGGAAGGGGGAGAAGATGGTAAAAGAAGTGGCTAAGGAGAGGAAAGGGGTGGTATCTACATCGGGAAAGAGGCTTCGAAAGTGTTTTGTTTTGTAACTGAAAATGCTTGCTAAATAAGTGAGCAAGCACGGCCCAACAGAAACAGAGCATCTTGAGGTTGGGGTAACGTTGCTGATAACGTGTGAGATTGGTAGTTTATTGCTTTGACCATGACAGGACATGACACACGACACAACCTCCCTTCCTTAAACCCTCGGAGAGTTTATTAGGATTCAGCATATTATACATATATATTTATATTTATTTAAAATAATTTAAATAAAATTTTATAATTTTATATCATATGATATTAATGTGATATATTATAATAAATAATAATATAACATATTAATATGATATGATGATATGATCAAATTATATTTTTCAATCTCCATCTCTATTAAGTAAATATAGATATAAAATAATAAAAAATATTTATATTAATTATAATTAATCAATTATTAATAATAAGAGTTTGTTTAATTTTAAATAAAAGTACATACGTTTCATTGAAACTAATAAAAAAATAAAAATTTATTTAAAATTTTTAAAATAATGTAAATTTTTTTTGAACTTTATGCTATATATATATATATAAATAGAAATCTTTTATCTCATTTACTGATGCATTGTTTGGTGTGTTTCTTTCCATGATTTTACGTCACAATACTAATTTTATATTATTATTTTTACTTTAAAATCTTAAATCTTAAACCCTGATGTGAAAATTTAAAGAACACTTAACACAAAATTATAAAAAAAATACAAAATGAGATAGAAGGTTTCTACTTATATATATATATTCCAAATTTTCACTGTAGTATTACTTTTTTTTCTTTTGTTTTGACAGTTACCATTCATGCATAAATATTTTCTCACATAAAATAGTACTAATAATAATAACACAAACAATAAAAGATTCATATATTTTTTAGGTGAATTAAAAGGGACATATAGGTTGCCCAAACTTTAGGTTAAGACGCAAACATGTATTTTGTTTAAATTATTCATCTTGTCAACAGTTTCACATTTTGAATAACATAAGTGATAAATTATCAATGCTTAAACTCCAAAACCTCTTATTATATAAATGAACGAACTAATCAATGAATTGAACAACTTCCTCGTCGATAAAGTTCACAGCTATTTTTATGACTACATACTTGATATAAAGCAAATACAAAATATACAAACTCAGCTCTCATTCTAAAATTAACCTATTTAATTATAACCAAAATGTTAAATCCCCTTTGCTTAACTAAACTCAAACTCCATATTTCCTTCTTCTAATTCTTGTTTACCTTCTTCTATTAACTTGTGGGTTTTTCTCCTAGTGCATTCTCGATATTTTTCATTATCGACCAACTACAAAGATTAAAGAGTGTACTAGTTGGTGGTAAGATACATAAGGAAAAGGATTAATATTTGATGCATTAATAATATACAGCTTCTATACACGGTCAAATTGTCAAATTCTAACACCTCATTAATGAGATATTAATTTAAAGAAAATAAAATATTGATAACATTCCAAAATTGCATATGGTTTTAATATTTATCTTTTATTTTTTCAAAATAATATTTTATTAATGAAATATCAAGATTTGATAGTCTAATA